GGAAGAAAAGGACAAGAAGAAACCATGTTCTGAAACTCGGGGCGCGACGAAAACTCGGCATGTAAGAGACCAGACAAAAAGGAGGGGAGGAGGTGCTATTAGTAGTAGTAGTAGTAGTAGTAGTAGTAGTAGTAGTAGTAGTAATCGTAATCGTAGTAGTAGTAGTATTAGTAGAAGAAAGTAGTAGTAGTAGTAGTAGTAGTAGTAGTAGTAGTAGTAGTAGTAGTAGTAGTAGTAGTAGTAGTAGTAGTAGTTGTAGTAGTTGTAGTAGCAGTAGTAGTAGTAGCAGCAGTAGTAGTAGTTAGTAGTAGTAGTAGTAGTAGTAGTAGTAGTAGTAGTAGTAGTAGTAGTAGTAGTAGTAGTAGTAGTAGTAGTAGTAGTAGTAGTAGTAGTAGTGTAGTAGTAGTAGTAGTAGTAGTAGTAATAGTAGTAGTAGTAGTAGAAGTGGTCGTAGTAGTAGTAGTAGTAGTAGTAGTAGTAGTAGTAGTAGTAGTAGTAGTAGTAGTAGTAGTAGTAGTAGTAGTAGTCGTAGTCGTAGTAGTAGTCGTAGTCGTAGTCGTAGTAGTAGTAGTAGTAGTAGTAGTAGTAGTAGTAGTAGTAGTAGTAGTAGTAGTAGTAGTCGTGGTAGTAATATAAAGAAAAAAAAGTAGTAATAGTAGTAGCCGTAGTAGTAGTAGTAGTAGTAGTAGTAGTAGTAGTAGTAGTAGTTAGTAGTAGTAGTAGTAGTAGTAGTAGTAGTAGTAGTAATAGTCGTAGTAGTAGTAGTAGTAGTAGTAGATGTAGTAGATGTAGTGGTGGTAGTAGCAGTAGTCGTAGTAGTAGCAGTAGTAGTAGTAGTAGTAGTAGTAGTAGTAGTAGTAGTAGTAGTAGTAGTAGTAGTAGTAGTAGTAGTAGTAGTAGTCGTAGTCGTAGTCGTAGTAATAGTAGTGGTGGTGGTGGTAGTAGTAGTAGTAGTAGTAGTAGTCGTAGTAGTAGTAGTAGTAGTAGTAGTAGTAGTAGTAGTAGTAGTAGTAGTAGTAGTAGTAGTGGTGAGAGTAGCAGCAGCCCTGAGCGACGCACGTGAGCAAAAGAGGACCAATCAGCGCGTTCGGCTGTACTGCCGCGCTGCTCCTCTCCAGGTGTCTGCCGGCACGGCAGCAATATCTGACCAACTTATGTGATTTTGTACACTTGCATTCTGAGCGTGTCTCAGCACTTCCCTCGACCACACCTGCCGTGGTCGGCCCCGCTTGCGCGGCCGTGCCGGGTCCAAAAGTTCCACAGGTGAGGGTTTGAAAACAGCTTGGCGGAGAGGGTGCTGGTCACCCTCGCGCCCAATCCTGGCAAAGTGAAGGAGTTGTCTTTCCAGCAGCAAACAACTGAGCTTTACACAGCGCGCCTGCTCTAGAACAGATGCAATGTCACATGACTCGCGTACGAGTGGGGCACGCTCGGGATCTTTCGCAGGCACCGCGCCTGGAATGCATCCAGCTTGGACAGCTCCGCGCTCTTCAGCCATGCAGTGTGGAGGCTGTATAACAGCCTGCTCAGGACGCACGCCACGAAAAGACGGACCTTCAGTCAGGTAGGAAGAGCCGCGTGCGACCACAAACGAACGAGCTTCTCGAACTCGGCCCTCGCCGCGCCGTCTCGGGGACAGCTCCGCGTCCACGGTGCCAGCCGCAGACAGGACGCTCCCCAGATAGACGATGCTGTCCTTCAGCTCCACGTGCCCGCCGTCTGGCTACGGTATGCGGACCACGCACCTGACCGGAAGCACCTCAAGCTTTCTCCAGTTGTACTGCAGGCCGTATTGCGCTCCAGCTCGCGCAATCGCCCGCATGTACTCGGTCGCGTCGCCACCCTGCGCAGCCACGATCAGCGTGTCGTCTGCGTAGATCAGCTCGCTCACGTCTGTGGATCTGGGGCCCAGGTCTGCCTTGGCATCGTGGATGAGAACGGTCATGACGATTGCGAGAGAGGGAGGAGGAGGAAAACTGGACAGGCGCGGGGGACGACAAGGCACGGGGCGAGGAAGAGGAGGAGTGGAAGCGGAGAGGAGTACGATAGTTGAGCACTGAAGGGGAAGGAGGACCAGGCAGGAGGAGGGGGGGATAACCAGCCTCGAACCTATCCCTATTCCTAAAATAAAAAAATCGACGACAATCTCAGGGATGCGCCCTCAGAAACGGAAGGAATCCCTAAGATCGGCATCGAGATGAGGCGATGCCAATCATAGGGATAGGGATATGTTCCAGGCTGGTGAGGGGAGGAGAAGGAATGGGAGGGGTGAGAAAAAAGGAGGAGGACGAGGAGGAGGACGGACGCGACACGCTAAACCAACAATCCCGACCGCATCTTCTTCACAGTGCGGCTGCGGCAGGCAGCCATGTGCGTCTGCCGTCGTGGCCCGCGTGCACGCTGCCCGCGGCGCTGGCCTGCGCTCGAGACCCCCAAGGATGCCCTGCTCGGAGGACGCGGTGCTGGACTGCTCGCTGCTGCCCCGGAGGACCGCAGACCGCCCGGGCACGGGCGGCGCAGCAGGCTGCGGCGAGGGAAGCAGCAACTGACGCACGGGCCCCCGCGCTTCCAGGCCGCGGAGCAAGACTGTCCCCAGATCCCCCGCGGACGCGGAGCAAGCCCGTCCTGAGATTCCTCTCGGACTCGGCGCACAGGACCGTCCTGAGCGCCACGTGGTCGTGAGTCAACTGATCGATCAACCTGTAGACCTTCACCAACATGTCCTTCATGTGCGTGGCCCAGCGTCGACACGTAGAGCTTGGGTGAGAGTATTGGGTTATATATATATATATAGAGATGTACGCATACACGTCGTTCATTTCAGATCGTGCTCATTTCAAAATTCTGCTCGTTTCTAATTGTGCCTGGCCCCCTAGTGGCCAGGAAGAGGCCCAGGATAAAACAATTAGAAAAGAAAGGATTCTGGCCCCCCTACAATCAAAGAGCCCTCGAGGATCTAGACACGATCTGTGTGTATACTTACATGTCGCCGCGCCGCTGGTTCTCGACCCCCACACCCCGGCAAACCCACAGCAGGCCCTCCGCCCGCGCCCCAGCAGACGACGCCGGCACCACGGCAGACCCAGCGGCAGACCAACCACGCCCGAGGTGGCGTTTGCCCCGGTGGCCGCTGCGCCCTCGCCAAGACGCAAGGCCACGCCTCGGGACAAACGGCGCGGCGATATCTATATCTATATATATACACACACGTATATATATATATATACACATCTATTTAGTCCGCTCCAGAAAACAAGAGTCCAAGGACAAACATATCACCTCTTCAAAGCGCCTATATATATAGTCCGCTCCAGAAAACAAGAGTCCAAGGACAAACAGATCACCTCTTGAAAGCGCATCTTGTACGTCCGCCAGCGGAAGCCGGCGGAGTCGCCTGCGTCTTGCTTCCGCTGGCCTCCACCGGCGTTCCGCCGAGGAGGAGGAGGAGTACTTCTCAATCCCTATGAGGCGATGCCCTTTCTGGAGGGCACCATGTAGACGAGCTTGCGCTGTATATCGGTATATCGCCACCTCCTCCTCCTCCTCCCTATGGTTATGCAGTGCGGGCGTGGAGCTCACGCGGGACATGCGTTGCAGCCTCGCATGGCGATTGCCCTTGGGATCAGTTGCGTTTGGCAGTCCCCCCAGCAATCTGACTTATTGTCCGACACGCCCCCGCGCTTCGCAAGTCGTGAATGACAATATGTAGTAGTTCTCTATACCTCTCTCTCTATTTCTCTCTCCTCGTCGTCCTCCTCCTCATCGTCCTCTTCTTCTTCTTCTTCCCACTCCTCCTCCTTCTCCTCCACTACATCCTAATTCTGCTCTTCCTTTTGTATTCCTCTTCTGCTCGTAAGATCCAGCTGTCATTCTTCACTCCTCCTCCAATTCCTCATCCTCCTCCTCCTCTCCCCCCGTTCCTCTCTCTCCTCTCTCCTGCTGCTACTCTCTCCCTCCCCCTCCGTTTCCTCCTCCCACTCCTCTCGCTTCCCTCTCCTCGCCCTCCTCGCACTCTCCCGTCTCCTCCTGCCCTTTTCTGGCTGGGCGAAAGGGGGGGATAGCAAAGGGGGGGTTTGAGAATCAGCTCACGTCGCTGACTTTCCCGGCGCCTCCCAGTGCCGGAGGCGGCTATGTGTCGAGAAATGGGCCCCTCGGTGGGGCCGAAACCAGCTGCATGCAGCAGATTTCGTAACCCCCCCTTTCCCAATCCCCCCCTTTCGTCCGGCCCGAAAGACGGCCCTGAAGTCCCGCAGGAGGACCCCAAGTCGGTCCAGAGAGGCCCCCAAGATGGCTCCCGATGGCGTCAGTCACACGGGCCAGGACCGCGCTCAGATTGCCAAAGAGCCTCCCAAGGAGCCTCCAGAGGCCCCCCATAGGCCCCAGGGAGCCCCAGAGGCGTCTGAGGGACCTCCAGGCATCTCCAAGGAGACCCAACGAGTGCCCCGAGAGGCTCCCCAAAGGCCTCCTCCTCCTCCTCCTCCTCCTCCTCCTCCTCCTCCTCCTCCTCCTCCCCCTTTCGTCCGGCCCGACCCTTCCTCGGCGATCGCCCCCAGGCCTCCCCAGGCAGCGCGCCCTGGCTATAGGTCTTCGAGGCGGCCCCGGCCAGGGCGACGAGCACCCGAACGCGTCGACCCTCGATCCCTGGCTCCGCCTCCCCCGCCCGCGTGCACTCCTCCGCCGGCTCGCCCCTCCTCCTCCTCCTCCTCCCTCCTCCTCCTCCTCCTCCTCCTCCCCCTTCTCCTCCTCGTCCTACTCCTCCTCCTTCTTCTTCTCCTCATTCTCCTCCTTCTCCTCCTCCTCCTCCTTCCCCTTCACCTCCTCCCCCCCCCCTCGGCTACACGCAAGTGTGGCTCTGGATACGGGTGATCTTCGGTGCGCGGCCATTTGGGGGCCGCGGGGGCGCCGAACACAGGCGCGCAAGACGGCACCGCCGCCTCGCACTTCGGCGATCGGGGGACCCCGATGGGCCCTCACCCAGGGTCCCTCCGGCGAAGGGTCACGCTTACGTGCAGTCGACCCCCCATCTCTGGCAACCCTGCCTGGTCGACGGCCTCCGGCTCGATCTGGAACAGCGGCCCGCGCATCCATTTCTTGTCCTGGCGGGTGGGAGGAGGATCATTTCTGCTGCGGGCCGCTGCAAGCTGGGCTGCTGCAAGGACTGCCACGCAGGAACATCATGGAACAGGAAGGAAGGGCACACGGGGCCCTGGCATAACACGGGAGGGAGCGACGGGGGATGGAAGAGGGCTTCGGGAGTCTACTGACCCTGGTCAAGCCAGACCTGGGTCAGTCAAGCCTTGCAAGGTCCTGCAAGATCCTGCACGATCCTGCACCCAAATCCGGGTCAGTGCGACCCTGGCTTTGCAGGATCCTGCAAGCAACAGCGCGCTGACTAACCCCCGCTTGCACTGGCCCCCGTCTCTTGAGGCCCGAGGGATTCGCAGGTTCTCGTCTCGGGGGGCTCTCGGAGGCCGTCGGGAAGTTCCACACGCCTCCTCCGCACTAGAGGCGGCATAAACATAAGCTCTCGAAGTTTCGCATGGATTCCTTGGATCGGCACTGGGCCTGCCGGCGCGGCGCCAGAGGCGCCGCCAAGGTGGCCCAGCGCCGATGCAAGAAACCCGGGCGGAGTTTGCATCCATCATCATCGTCAGCAGCATCATCACCACCGTCAGCATCATCACCACCATCATTATCATCATCACCACCACCACCGTCATCATCTTCATCAACATCATCATCATCATCATCATCATCATCATCATCATCATCATCATCGTCGTCACCATCAACAACATCATCAGCAACACCATTACCATCACCACCACCGCATCATCATCACCATCACCACCACCACCATCACCATCACCATCACCATCACCATCACCATCATCATCATCATCATCATCATCATCATCATCATCATCATCATCAACGACACGACAACATGATCATCGACATCATCATCATCACCATCAGCAGCAGCAGCATCAACATCATCATCATCATCATCACCACCACCATGATCATCATCATCATCATGATCATCATCATGATCATCATCATCATCATCATCATCATCATCATCATCATCATCATCATCATCATCATCATCATCATCATCGTCTTCTCCTCAAGATGACGAGGGGGCCCGGCGACACTGTGGGCGTGACAGCTACTCTGGCGGGCCCGACGAACGTACCGTTCGGTGGGTGGCGACATACGAGCCCTAACCCTCCACCAACCATCGATTCGCCTGAATCGATGGGAGGCGGGGGTAGGGCTCGGACTTCCCCTCGTGACCGACGAACTCCGAACCCTACCCCCGCGGCCCATCAAATTGCCTGAATTGTGGATCGGCGAGGGTAGGGTCCAAATGTCGCCGCCGAGTTCCGGCTGCGCGGGAGGAGAGCTCTGGACATCGGTGGCGTTCGGAAGGCTCCCTGCCTGGCAGCGGTCGGCGTGCTCTGCCCCACCGCGGATCTCGTCGTCCCGGAGGTGACGGAGCCGGATCGACAAATCCGCCGGCACCAAACGCGCCGTGCAGGCTGCCCTCGAGCGAGGGGGAATGACATAGGGGGGAGCCGGACCAGGGGGGAAACCTTGAGCTGGAGTCGGTGATACACCCCCAACAGGTCGGCGAGAGGCCCCCGAGGGTTAAGTCGGGCGTGTCCCCCTACAGGGGGAATTTTGACGAACAATTGAAAATACAAAACAAATACTCCAAAATGGTCAAAAAATGTACCAAAAATGCCCCCCAGACTATTGTTCACTATTTTTGAATATTCCCCCTGTAGAGGGACAGGCCCGACTTAACCCGAGGGCAAAAACGAACGTTCCTGGGTGGGGTGGTCTCTCAGGCCCCTCTCGGCGATGACTGGGCGATGTCTGGTCGATGCATTCCCCCCCTGAGCTCATTCTTCCCTGACGGGGGGCGCCGACGGAGGAGGACCTGGAGGGGGTTGGAAGGAGGGCGAGAAGGGGGAGGGGATGAGGAAGTAGCACGAGGCAGAAGAGGCGGGGGGCGAGAGGGGTGGTGGAAGGGGCAGGAAGAGGCTTGGGGGGCTCGCGATGCAGCAGACGCCAGGGGAGGCCCGCTCATACCCAGCCTCGTTCCCAAACCCCCGAAGTCATGAATTTTTCATGACGTCGACCCCCAGAGGTCCGGACCCATTCCCCGGGACCGGTTTTTCGTCCTGAGTCGTTTTTTGACGGTCCCGAGGGCCGGTAAGGGCCCCGAGAGGCCGAAAATCATGAAAAACCTCGCGCCGTGATGTTTTCATAACTCGAGGGGGTCTGGGTTGCTGCTGCGTGCCCCTCTCTTCCGGCTTCACTTTGCACCTCTGGGCCACCGCACCGGCCAGGGAGCGCGCCCCTCTCGACCGGGTGCCCCAGGGCTGCACGGCACTGCGCTCTCCGACGCTGCCCAGGTCGTGGACATCGGAGATCGTTTTGCGCTGCTCGTGGCAGGCACACGAAGCATCACCGACTTCGCCGAAGCAGCAAGCGAACTCATAGGGGAACGAGAAGTGGCATAGACATAACAACTCGGAGGTCCGCGCGGATTTCTCGGATCCGCGCTGGACCCCCCTCCCTGGCGCGCGGAGCGCGCCAGGGGCGGCGCCGGAGGCGCCGCCGGGGGGCCCCAGCGCCGATCCGAGAAATCCGCGCGGACCTCCGAGTTTGTATGTTTATGTCACTTTCTGTTCCCCTAGTTAAGCAGGTGGCGGGCGCTGCAGGAAGGGACAGGGCCGGGCAAAGCCTGGCTGCCTGGGAGGAGGGCAGAGGGAGGGGGGAGGGGGGAGGGGGGAGGAGGAGGGAGAGGAGGAGGAGGAGGAGGAGGAGGAGGAGGAGGAGGAGGAGGAGGAGGAGGATCGGGTCGGCGGAAATCGGCAGCCGAGTCGGGCAAAGCCGGATCGGGGCAGAAGCCGGCACGCCAGCAGGCCTCCGCTGAGAAATGGGAGCCAGCCCAGATCAGAATCCGGGGTCGGATAATCGAATCGGCCTCGGAAGCCAGGGAAACCGCGTCGGAGCGGATCGATCGGAGGACTGGAAGCGAGCCCATGCGGAGGGGCCGACGGCGAGGAGCGTCGGCCGTGCGCGCTCGAGGAAGCGGCGGGCGCGGCAACTGGCGCCGCAGGCGCGCGCGCGCGTGCGCGCCGCTCTCCGCTCCTGCGCTCGGCTCCTTGCGGAGGGAGGTGCGCCACGGAGGCAGCCGGCGAGGCGGCCGCTGCCTGTGCGGTTGGCGCCGAGGCCTCCGCGCTGGTCCCCGCACTGCTGAGCTCCAGGCCTCCCAGATTAGGGCGACGATATCTATACATATCCACTGCTCCTGGCCAGGCCCATCCTGGGCCCAGGAGCGGTGTATATGCCTCCCTGGCCAAGCCAGGAGGGCGTATACACAGCTCTTGGGCCCAGGATGGGCCTGGCCAGGAGCAGTGGATATGTATAGATATCGTCGCCCTACAGATGGGGTCGGAGCAGGTGGGTTCGGAGGATCGAGCCGCATCGCCGATGCTGCACGGTGTGCAGCCCGATGTGCTTCACGTCGACGTCGCCGATGCATCGCCAGTGCATCGCCGATGCCTCGCCGATGCATCGCTAATGCATCGCCGATGCATCGGCGATCCGGCGCGATTCTCAGACCCCTTCTACTAGGACCGCATCTAGGAGGCCTGCATCAGCTTGGCCTCCACAGAGGCCAGCAACGTCGATAGCATGAGTGCGCGAAACAACTCCGCCTTCTGCTCCGTCGGTCAATGCACAGTTCCGCTTTCGACAATCTCTTTCCAGATGGAGTCCACGAGCTTCTCGATCGAGCACCTGGATTTCGCGTTATTTGGCCTGTTTGAGGTGTGGCCCAAAAGGCCTGCTGCTCGCTCGCGAGCGTAAGCAACTATGAGGAACGCCGAGATGCTGTGGAAGGTGGGGATGGTCGAGGTACACCGCATGCTGGCCGATCTTCTCGCGCATCATTTCCCCCTGGAGAATCGCGGAGCGCTAGTAGCGTATCCCCTCGTATGCACTTGGCCCCCTCGACCACTGCCAGTTCCTCCCCCGTCCCGAAGATGTCCCGCTCCAGCCCGGATCGCACACGCACACACAGGGCTCACTCCTCCCGCTCCGTGTCCGTCGACATGCTCTAGATCTCCTGGAGGACACCTCAGCTGCAACATGTTGGCGATATCGGCAAAGCAGCGGAAGGCGCCCTCCGCGGACATCTCGCTTTTGGCGGGGCCGCCTCCTCCTTGGACTCGGGCAGCTGCCCCTGACGTCCGAGCACAAGTCCGGCGGCGCGGGGGGGGGCGCCACGGCCTGCCGCGCGTCGTGTCCGGCCGCGTCTTGGCCGGCAGATCTGCAGTGCAGGCGGAGCCTTCGCCCTGCCATCAGATCTGCAGGCCAAGGCTCCAGGCGGACGGACGCAGGCCAAGAGCGGCAGGACAAGCTTGATGGCTTCCGCACGGTATCCAGCTCGGCCGCCACCTGCTGTGCCTGGATTGGTTGCGTGACCAGCGACCCCTCACCAACAAAAGAAGGACTGCCCATGTTGGACGTAGATTGACAACTCTCTGTGGCTGCATTGCTAGTGATGGGCCAAGCCTCCATCGCAGAGCGGGTGGGGCTGAGAAGGAGCATGCCACTCCTTGACAAACACCTTGCCTCGATGTGCGGCTGCCGCGCTCGCCGCTGCGACCTCCAATACCGACCCAGAGTTTTGGCTCGAGGTCGGATTTTCCCGCAACGGTGGATGCCAACTGGCAGGGCCGCCGCCGCAGCATACGGCGGGTTCGTCTTCTGACGACCCCGGCGTTGGCTTCTGACACTGCGTGGATCGTTCAACCTTGAACGATGGGCAGCTTCTCGATCGCCAGATCGTTTCGTACTGGCCGAGTCTTGGCCATTGGCGGCGTTCAGCTTTGAACGCCCGCCGCGGGATCGGCGCCGCGTCGACACGACGCGGACCTGCCGTATGCAAACGCATCGTGGTCAGAACCTCGGTCCTGTCGCACCCCGCGCGAGTCGCCGCAGCCGCAGGCTCCGGCGGCAACTCTCGTGCCGCCGGCGCGCTCGTTTCGGTGGCTCCTCGCCGCGGTCCTCCCGCGTGTGCTCTCCCTCTGCTGCGCCGCGCTCGGCTCCGCCGATCCTCCGTTGCCTGGACGTGCTCACCGAGCGCCTCGGCTCGGACCCGATGGGCTCTGCCTCCACCCGCGCCCGCGTCTCTGTCGGGAGCTGGGCCCGTCTGCAGGGCGGTCGAGGGTGCTCGACCTCCGCCGCGGGCGCTGGACGTGCGCGCTGGCGCTGCTCTGCTCCGCGTCGCCGCGGGCACTGCCGGGCAGAGGGTCGGCGAAAGTCTGCGCGTCGCGGAGCGTTCGACGTGCCCCAGGGCACGAGAGGCCCGTGAAGCAGCACCTCGTGCGAATCCAGCGGGGCGCCTGGGCCCCGGCTGGACGGCCGTGCCCCCCGGCATGCGTGCCGAGCAACCGTAGCGGCGCACGGACACTTGCAGCCACCGCCGCCGGGCGGAGAGGCAGGCTGTGGGATGGGACAGTCGGACACCCTGAGTGAGGAACAAGGAGAAGGCGACACCAACACCACTGGGGCGAGGAGATGCGAGGAGCAGGGGGGATCTCCCTGGTGGTGTGCCGCCCCCCCCCCCCCGTCTCGCTCGAGACAGCCCCAGCCTCCAGCTCGGGTGGGGCAGCGTGGGCCTCCTCGCCGGTGGTGGCCCCCCTGGTGCTGTTGGTCTCGCCTCTCCTCCCTCCGGCTGACTGTGATGTGCCACCGCGCTGCCCTCCGATTGAATCCCCAGCGCACGGCGCGCTCATGAGCATACTCTGCCAACACCAGTGCCGCCACGGACACCGCGAGCATGACAGAGAGGAGGGCGGGGGTCAGCACCGTCGTTCCCGTGCCCGATCTCAGCGGCACCAAGGGGCAGACGAAGGCGTGGATCGAGACGTCAGTGAGAGCAACATCGAGAAGATCATTCGGATCTCCGATGCCAGCCAGGAGCTCCGCGATGCATTCGTAGGGGCCTATGGCCAGATGATCGAAGCACCATTCGCAGCAACGGCCGCTGTAGCACAGCTGCGACCTGCGACCATGTGCTGCCAGTGAGCAGCACCACGGAGCAACATGGGCGGCTCAACACCTGACCTGCCGAGGTCGGTGCGCACCGAGCGTGTGAGGGGAAGGGCAACTGGTGCTGGTCTGACTGTAGGCCACTGCTTGGGTCAAGATTGCCAGCAGTGGGAGGGAGATGAGCTGGAGGACAAGGGCGAGAAGGAGGAGGAGGAGGATTAGATGGAGGAGGAGGAGGAGACAGAGGGAGGATGAGGAGGAATAAAAGGAGGATGATGATGATGATGAGGAGGAGGAGGAGGATGAGGATCAGGAAGAGGAGGAGGAGGAGGAGGAGGATCAGGAGGAGGAGTAGGATGAGGAAGAGGAGGAGGAGGAGGAGAAGGAGGAGGAGGAGGAGGAAGAGGAGGTGTATTAAGTTAGGCAGAGAAGCAGGTGCAGGATGGGGAGGAGAAGGAAAGGAGAATGAGGGGGGGAGGACGAGGCATGCTGGAGAAGGCCACGGGGAGGAGCTCCCAACGTCGCCCCGCCAGAATCCCCCCCAGCGGAAACGGTGTATGGCTTTGCAGTCGCTCCTCCGACGTCGCGTCAGGAATCGGTGTGTTCGCCTCTAGGAGCTCAGAGTATGACGACTTGCACACGAAGTCAACAGGTTATAGTGACCTGCATACAGGCCTAGCTCCCTCAACAAATCATGCCGCGCACGCAACCCAAATTTCAACTCCCGCGGTTCCACGGCTTGCCCGCATGCTTCAACAAGCTTCCACAAGTCGTCGTAGGGCTGCAACTTGTCGATGCCTTCTTGCAGCTTCTCGAACTCGGAAGGGTCCCAGCCCAACAGAGCCTCGGATAGCGCTCGGAGGATAGAGAAAGAGAGAGAAGCGGAAAGGCGCACCCGGGAGCGCACACACGCACCATCCTCAGCAGAAGCGGCGAGGACGCAGACAGGATCCCAGTACCCGTCCCCTGCCTTCCCCCGATCCTCTTCCTCCCTCCTTCCCCCTGCCCGATCTCCTGTGCATGCTAGAATAGGGAAGCGTTGCCATCGTGCAGGCATCGCGGCCACTACCGTTCGGCTCCGACCTCAGAAGACGGCCCTGGATCCGGGGAGAGGTAACAATTGTATTAGGACACTGGCAACACACACAACTGAATTGATGTGCGGGAGATACGAAAAACGCGAGCTGGCTACGCATGCACAAGGCGAAGGTACTAAGCCATGCCGGGGCCAAATGGTGGATAGACGATAGACATACGGCCACATGTTTATGCAGCTCTCGCCCGGGCCAGCCACGTCATGCGAACCCAGATGCCTGGCACATGGTTCGGGCTCTCAACCACTGGACGCTCGGCCGTGCGAATACGAGAGCACGAAGGCGCCTTCTCACGAAAGGGACACACCACAACGCATTGGTATTCGGAGCCGTAATCAATTGTCACCTATCCCTCGCCCTCCATCTATTCTGACACCCCCCTCTTCGAATGCGTCGTGGCCTGCAGGCGGATCAACACAAGCCCACGTGAACACTGTGCGGATACGTCTGCGGCTAGTTCAAACCCGAGACCAATTCGTCTATAGAGGGGGGACGCACGGAAAGAGGAGGGCGAATCTATCCTCGCTGGAAGGGGGCAAACATCGGCCGCCTCTTTCTCGCGCAACTTCTCGGCCTCGGCCTTGGCATCGTCGAACTTGGCGTGCAGCGCCATGATCCCGTCCAGGTAGAACTGCCCACGCCGAGCTGATGCTGGTCTCGCTGGCTTCTGCCCCTCTGCCACCTGCCACTCCTTCCCGCTCGCCCACGTCACGTCCTATCTGCGCCTCCTGCCCGGGCCGCGTTCTTGAGTTCCCCCTCGGCGGGCCCTGCACACCTCGCTGCTAAAACTCAGCGTTTCCCTGTCCCGTTTCCGGGGGGGTGGGGGGGGGCGTCGGAGGTGTAGCTAGCTGTGGGCATCGTTTAACCGATCCCCATCCCCACCAGCATGGGCTGGGCCCCACTGGCCGATTTACTCCCTTGGATGGGGCTATGGGCTGCTCTCCTCGGGTTTCGAAGGGCATACTCCGAATTGAGGTGGTGAGACGGTGGGGCTCGAGGTGTGGATGGGGACGGGCATAGGGGCTGGCCTGAAACACCAGCGCCCCACCAGAGGTGCGCGCCACGCGGAGGCAGGGCACGAAGGAGGAGGGCAACTGGCGGATTTCACTGGCGGGGCACGGCCGGGGGCGAAACGCGCAGGGGCGCGGAAGCGGCGTGCCGCCCAGGAGCCGACGGCAGCACGTCCACTACGAGAACGGCGCCCATGCGCCGTACCATTGTGGATGCCATGGCAATGGACACTCCAACAGCCCTATCATTGAATGTAAAATGTGGCTTGCATTTTTTAGAACTGTGAAAAATCCGCCGACCCTGTCGGCGTGTGGAATGGGTCGTTCTTCTCCTCCGTGCATCCTTCCCTTTCCCACCTTCTCCGTCTCCTTCTCGTTCGTCTCCTCCTCCTCCTCCTCCTCCTCCTCCTCCTTCCTCCTCCTCCTCCTCCTTCATCTCTTCCTCCTGCGTAGTACAATCAATTGACTCGAAGGGTTTCCCCTTCCCTTTCTTCCCTTCCCCGGCCGGGGGGGGGGTGTCCCGGGGGGGGGTCCCGGGGGGGTCCTGGGGGGGGGGGGGTCCGGGTCAGAATACCACCTCCCTCCTCCTCCTGGGCGTCGTTTGCCACCTTGGGGGGTTTCCCGGGGGACACCCAGGAGGGGTCCTGCATGGGGAGGTCCCGGGGTGGGTCCCAGGGGAGGACCCGGGGGGGGTCCAGGGAGGCCCGGGTTCAGAATACCACCTCCCTCCTCCTTGGGGGTCCCGGGGGAAGCCCGGGGGGTTCCTGGGGGGGGTCCCGCGGGGAAGGTCCTGGGGGGGTCCCGGGGGGGGGTCCTGGGGGGGGTCCCGGGTCAGAATACCACCTCCCATCCTCCTCCTCCTCCCTCCTCCTCCTCCTCTCCTCCTCCTCCTCCTCCTCCTCCTTCCTCCTCCTCTCCTCCTCCTGAGCGTTTTTTTTGCCACCGTTTCCATCTCCTTTTCGTTTGTCTCCCCCTCTTCCTCCTCCTCCTCCTCCTCCTCCTCCTCCTCCTCCTCCTCCTCCTCCTCCTCGTACTCCTCCGGACACACTTCTTCCGCCTACCCTGTCACGTTGTCATTTAGCTCCTTCATGTGATCACACATCCCGACACTATCGACGGCCAAAACCGTCAGAGTCGGCGGCACCGGCCGTAAGGTCTTCACAAAAATTGCCAAACGTGACGCATGTGTTTAAACTGTGTGGCGCATGTTCTAAACTGTGTGGCACATGTTTTCAACTGTGTGGCACATGTTTGTAAGCAGGTCTCAAACATCTGTAATGTATTTGGCAACATGACTCCTCTTCATTGAACGTGTTCCACGCCCGTACCATATCTAGACTCCGTGCGGGCCCGGTGCATAGTTCTGATTGTCCTGAAGGCCGAACAACTAAGCAGCGTACCGGACCCGGGTCCAATATCGACGACGCCTCGGGAGATTCCACCGCGGTACGGCGTGCCTAGGTCGCCCGCGGATCCACACGCCTGATCCAACTACGGCAATCAAGTAAAAGTTTCAATGGCATCCGTAAGCCGAATTTGAAATAGTTGACCTGCTGCGAATGTCGCAGCCGCCACGCGCGCATACATACCGATAGGACCACCTTACGGATGATAACGAGGTCGGTGAGGGGGAAGAGGGAGGCGGTCGAGTTGCGATGGCTCTGGGTTCCGTGGTGGTTTCTTCAGCTGTCCTTGTCGCGGACACCTGCGGATCTCTCTCTTTCTATATATACACATGCATATACGTATGTGCTTATATATAGATATGTCCGTATGTATAATTACCGATCCACGTCTCTATATACATGTACTGATGTGTCGATCTATATATCTATATGTCAATACATGTATAGTTCGGTTGATCCATATATCTGTCTATAACGATGTGTGTGTTTCTATATATATATATATCCCTGCCCATGTCCATCAGAAGGAGGAAGAATATGAGGAGGAGCAGGACCATTCCCTTCCTGTCCCTCAGGCAGGAGGTAGAGGATGCGGCTCATGCCCTTCCCTTTCCATCAGGAGGAGAATGGGGGAGGCGAATGAGGATGATATTTCCCTGTTCCTTTCCTTCAGGGAGGAGGAGAAGGCTCATTCCCTAACGCGAGGTGCCGTTATGCCCCCCCAACCCCCTGGCAGGACCCCCCTAGGGATGTAATGCTCCCCTGGTACGATCCGTATACGGATGGGTACGCCTCTGGTGTAACCCCCATTAGGATGGATACACATCTGGTAGACCCCTACAAGGATGGGTGCAACTCTGGTGCGCTCCCTGTGGGGATGGATACACCCCTGGTGCGGCTCTATAAGGATGGAAGCCTCTCTGGTACGATCCCTGCGTGGATGGATACACTTCTGGTAGGATTCCCATGAGTATGGGGGCACTTTTGGTACGACCCCTTTGGGGGTGGATGCGCCTCTGGTGCGACCCCTTGTAGGGATGAATGCACCTCTTGCAGGATCCCTGTAGGGGGGGGATCGCCTGAGTCGCTCGCACTTGGTCTGACTGAGCGCACGGGCATCTGAAGAGCACGCGTTTGCAAGCTTTGCTTTGCTTGACATCTGATCAACCAGATGGGGAGACGGGCGTGTGCGTAGACACGCGCATCTGCTTTTTATATGTATATGTGCATACGTACACATATGCACTATGCGAGGATGTACTGGTCATTCAGATGATGACGTTGACAGAAAAGCAGGGGCACCGACATGCGCGCGCGCCCCTCTATTTCTCTATCTGTCCCTGGATCCACCATCGGGACAACCATCGAGACAACTATCGGGACGCCCATCGGGACAACCATCGGGACAACCATCGGGAGGAGGAGGAGGAGGAGGAGGAGGAGGAGGGGCAACCATCGGGGCAACCATCGGGGCAACCATCGGAACGCCCCTCGGGACACCCCTCGGGACCACGGGGGGCCGCGCGCGCCCTGGGGGGGCGGGGGGAGGGGCGGCCCCCTCGGAGCCCCGTGGGATCTCTGCCGGTGCAGGAGCTCGCGCCCCCTCGCCTCCCTAAAACGACGCGAAGATCGGGGCAGAATCGGATCGGAATATCCCGAAATCTCTGAGAATCGGCGGGTTTGGAGGATGTATTGGGCGCCGCGGCCGCTCCAGAGCGTTCCGGAACGCTCTGAGAGCGCTCCGGAACGCTCTGGAGCGATTTATCCCGATCCTAGCCTTGTTTTGCTCTCCCGCACGCACGGCACGGACCGAAGCCGATGTCCGGGCTGGGGCCACTTCTGCTCACGCCCCCTGCACTCCGATGTGCGCGGTGCCATGCCATCCCAATCTTACCACACGCGGTGCGCCGATGACGGTCAAACCAAAACTGCGCAGCTCACAGTTCTACGTGCTTGGACTGGCCGAGCACGAGACACACATGATGTGAAACATCCAGAAAATCAAGCAAGCTGCGCCACCACCACAAGAGGTAACACCCCAAACCTAATTACCGAGCTCCCGAATCTCACCTGCAGCCGTAATGTTAATCGCCATATCTCGCCATCCGAACGAATTCCAAAAGAAACAACTGGTACCCAGGTTGATGCCCCCCGTTGTAGATCCAATGGTCGCGGTGCGCCAAGAGACCACGAACGATTACGTTCCTCGCTGTCCACATGACCGCGAGCAGTTCGGCTTAGCCGTGCAACTTGAAACGCAATTAGCAGGTTCCCGACGCGTCGGTTGTCTTACAGAGCAATGCACAAGTCCCCTCAATTTTAGATCCCTCCTCCCCAAACGATGTACCGCGTATCGAATTCTTGGCGTAAGCCTGGGTTGTGGGCAGATGGCGCGCGTTGCGTGATTCGTCATGGGACACCGCACATCAGATGGCACACGCGCGCGAACTGAACGATCGGGGTCATTTGGCCAGACGCCTCGAGGAAACCCTGAGAGGCACGCGCGGGCGCACGTCAGGTGCCCCAAAAAAGGCCGCAAGTAGGCCCTCCCGACGGGGAGAAGATGATGAGGGATGGGGAGAGGTTTCGAAGCCGTATTGCGCCATCAAACTGGCCCCCCCTCCATCTTATGTACCTCCATTGGGTTATGATCAGATGGCGTGCGCGTCGAGTTGCTCGCAGATTCCCTCCCAAAACGTGGGGGTCGCAACAGTATGGCGCAAACACTGGTGACGGCTTACCTGTGCCAAGTGTCGATGCTAGCCAGCTGCGGCTACAATGGTGTACTTTTCCCCCTACACGCGCATGGCAAGAACCTGTGCGTGCTGAGATGCATTCAGCCGACCGCACCTTTTCGCAACAAAATGCAACAATGGGGCCCCCAATGTTCCCCCCACGCGAACCCCAAGTCTGCCAGCGGCCGCAAGATAGACCAATGCCCTTCCAACACTGCTCCAAAACCCCCAGGAGGCCGCAAGACCCTGCCAAAACCCCCAGGAGGCCGCAAGACCCTGCCGCAACACCCGTAACACCTTCCCAAGTGATCCAACATAGCCAGCTCCCAAGGAGCCGTCCAGACCACCCGCCCTGAAGACATGTGCTACAACCCCCCATGGGCCTCAGGGGACAGCAACTATCACGTCGTGCGGCGTACTCTGCACCAGAAAACTTATGTTATATGTGACTGTCAACTGTGATACGGTGCGCGTGCTACGCTCCTGTTGACCCTGCGAATCAAAGCGATCGCACGATGCATCGTGGAGGGCAAGAAGAACACATCTGTCGCGAAGGGCCGTCCCCTGATAGATCGAAACAACTTTGGCAGGTGACGACTTTTCTGCTGTTCTTTTTTCCGAGGCCTCCTAGCCGGGGTCCGAGTAGATGGGGTCGGAGGATCGCGCCGCATCGGCAATGCATCGGCGATGCATCGGCGCTGCCTCGTGGGGAAATCATGGCTCCACATCGCGCCGCATCGGCGATGCGGCGCGATCCTCCGACCCCATCTACTCGGACCCCATCTGGGAGGCCTAGGTTGTTTTCTTGTTGCAGCAGCGGCCGCCGCGGCGCCGGGTGTCAGCTGGCCGCGGCCGTGCCGTCGCGGGCGCGCGGGTCGGGCGCCGCACGGGAAGCGGCGACGCTCCACACCGGCCACCAAGGCAGGAAGTTGGCGCCGCGCGGAAGAAATGGGGGGCGATGGATAAGCGAAAGAAAGAAGATGAAGAAGAAGACAGACAAACAGACAGACAGACAGACAGACAAACAGACAGAGTAATTCCAAGGTGCATCTGCAAAGCTCGAAAACACCGGAAAACGACCCTCTTCGGTCCCGCTCAGCGGAGGCTGAGGAAAAGGACGCAGGTGCGGGCACCGCCTGCAAGCGATGCCACACAGGACATGGCACCCTGTGCAACACATCGGAACTGCATGACCACGTGAAATGGAAACTCGGCGGGACATCGTACCCTGAACAGGCGGATAGAAAGGGCGCGCATTAGCGGTGAAAAAGAAGGCTGCATGCACAACAAGGAGGGCGTTAGCTACGCAAGCTGCTGTCGGTAGCGCACCTCGCGTGTGCAGAAAAAACCCACGTGGACCCGCGACGTCATCCTTCGGATCGTTTCCGCCAGCCTGAGGCCTGTAGGGTTGTCCCGTCGAGGACTCCTCCAGCTTCTCCATCCCCCCATCCCCCCTCAATGCTAACCTTATGTCGGGCGTGTCCCCCTACAAAAGGATTTTCGACGAAAAATTTAAAATACCCCAAAAATACACCAAAAAGGCCAGACAATACTCAAAAAATAGTCCCCAGACGATTTTTTGACTAATGTTTGACTATTTTTGGGGTATTCTTTACTTTTCTTCTTCGAAAATCCCCCTGTAGGGGGTCAGGCCCGACTCAATGCTAACCACTAACTTAATCGCGCGCATGCCTCGCCGACGACGTCCGACGACGTCAACTGTGGGCGTCTGGCGCCGTGGGCGCCGACTGCGCCTACATAGACTGCGGCGTGGGACCGACAGTCGACCCAGTCGGCGGCGTACTTGTGTGTGCGAAGCTGTGCTCTGCATGGACCACTGCACACGCGCGCTGGCAGCGCACAGACACCGAACACGCCGTGCGCTCGCCAGAGCCGGAAGGCAGCCTGCGACACCGAGTTGTTAGACACGGGCTGCTGCATCAGATTCCACCTCCGCGTGCCCCATAGAGAGAAACCCCACCATCTCGGAAGCACTCGCTCTGCGAGCCTGCTCGGGCGTCAGCGCCGCCCGCAAGCAAACCACTGTCGTGTCGTCGTGCGCGTGGCCCCTCTTCGTCATCGCATCGGTGTGGCAGCCGGCCCGGGCGAAGAACTCGAGCATCCGCCGTGCGGCACGTGCGAGGGGCTCTTCACGACGCCACTGGACCGACAGCTCGAGCGAGCCCTGCCCACAAGAGATCTCCAAGAACACCACCCCGAGGCTCCAACAGTCTGCCGGCTTGGGCAGGCACGGCTCCTCCAGCGCTGTCTCTGGAGCGACGCATGGCAGAGAGCGCAGAGAGCTGCAACGGGTCTCTCTCTGGCTGGAGTCTGGGACGTGGGCTGCCATGCTGAAATCCACGAGGCGGCAAATGTGCCGACCGCAAGCAATCTCTACCGCCACGTGCCTCAACGACACTTGCCCATGGACGACATCCAGGGCATGGCAGTAGGACAGAGCACTCGCGACCTGTGCACTGCATTTCAAGGCGTCGTCCCTGGACAAGCGATGGCCTAGTTGAGTCGACAAAGCCTGCTCCATGCACACGTCACCACCATACTGGAGAACCAGGTGCACATTGCACCAGCTGTGCAGCATGCCTTCGCAGCGGATGATGTTCGGATGGTCAAGAGTGTTCTTCAAGAAACAGAATTCCTGGTAGATGCATTCCATCTGTGTGGCATCAGTGACGCTGCGCTTGTTGCACACCTTGATCACACCGTGTTCTCATGCTGCTCGTTGACCGCCAACAAGACGTGCTTCTGGGTCGCGTACGAGCGCACGATCCGGAAATCCCCAACCCAAGGCCCCCGTCTCCTGCAAGCGCTTGTCCAAAGGCGCGAAGCCAGGAAAGAGCAGATCTGGGATGGTCTTCCACAAAAGGCAGTCGAACTTGGACTCGATCGCTTTGCAGTCGCTCGCAGAATGTATCCCTCGGCTCGAGAGGGCATCGAATTCGCGCAGGCGCTGCTGGAGGACGGCGCTCTCTTTGATCTCCAAGCGTACCTTCTGTAGCAGCGCCTCTGGGTCACATTCCAGCGCCATCGACACGCCGTGCGCCCCAACAAGCTGGAGAGCTCGTCCTGACGATCCATCAATGTACGAAGGCAGTCCTTGGTCAGCCCGGGGTCCAGCCGATCTGGAAGCTGCAGCAAGATGACGAGCAAGTCGGGGTGCGCCGTCCTCAGATAGCCGAGGAGGCACAGCGCTCCCCTCTTCTCCCACGTCGTCCCGTATACGGACAGCATCAGCACGGCTTCGCGCTCCTGCGCCATCTCGGTGATGCTTTCCAAGCTCAGCTCTCCACAGCCTGCCACGTCCAGCAGGTTGGCCGGCTTGCCCTGCGAGCTCCACGGCGCCAGAGTCAAGAAGCCAGAGGCCGCCATGCTGGGTGCAACGCTGGAGACATATGCCTCCACGACCGCCTGGATCGCACTGACTGTTGTCTCCATGTTCGGGCAATGCGACTGGCAATCAAGGCGCTTGATGGAGCGAGTCAGACTGCAGTCACGTGGCTTGAGCCAACATGGCAGATGGGCATTTGGTGTCTTTGCTTGCGCTTCTCGGAAGGTCTGACATGATGGCGGGATTCGCCGCAACCACATGTAAATGCATACACACGTTTTCAGAATCTGGACATCCGTGAGCCAGATCTAAGGAGCCGTGAAGTAAGAGTCCATGCTTCGACATGAACTTTATGTACCCTGGTGTGATCACTAAGGACTTGTTAATGGTGTGTCGTCACCAATATAATGTTGATGTATGGAACCATGTTGATCGAAGACTCGTATGATGTACGGTGCGGATGCTGATATTGATGATGATGGTGATGACGATGCTATCCTTAGGAATGCACGACTACCTCATTTTGCTCAGACGCATACTCTCCACCAACTGTCACCGCGCGGCCACAACATGCTGGATCAGTGCCACATGCACTGATGGGCACCACCATAATTCGGATGCGCGGAATCTTGCCCCGCATGCCTTTGTCGAACATTTGGGGGTGAGGGTGACTCCACCCCAACAGGGAGATCGGTTTCGGTTCGTGTTGTGCGGGGCGAATCTGGACGGGGCAATGCTGTGTCGACCGAGGCTTGGGCCGCGTCGGACAACAGGTGTCTCCATGGGCCTCGCGGTCGTCTCGGACAGTCTTGCAAATTGTCGCGTGGGCTGTCCTCTCGGTTGTCCTGTGGCTGCCCCGTGGGATGTTCCGTGGCTGTCCCGCTGGTTGCTGGTTGTGCCGTTGGCTGCCGTTCTGTGGCTATCTCCTGGATGCCCCGTGGGCTGTCCTGTAGGAAGCTCCGTGGGCTGTCCCGTGGTTGTCCTCTCTGGTTGTCTTATGATTTGTCCAATTCGTGGGCTCCCCTACGGTTTGTCCCGTAATTGTCCCGATGCTGTCCCCAGTGGTTGTCCCCTCGGTTGTCCGGCGCGCTGTCCTGCGAATTGTCCCGTGAAGTGTCCCGTGGGTTGTCCCACGGGCTGTCTGGTGGTTGCCCCCCGGGTTGTACTGCGGGAGCTGCAAATTGGAATGCACAAATATACGCGTACCAGTGTAGACCCGTGGGTTAAATTCAAGGCGCTGCGTGAGTCGCAGTTTGTCGACGCGCGCTTCTGTCTCTGGCGCGCAAATGCCAGTAAGCTGCGGTGTGCGGTGGACAACCAACGTGACATCGCTGATTCTCGCCTCTTCATGCCCCCTTGGGGGTCCTCCTGGGGCTCTTTTCGGGCGTCTTGGGCTCGTGGGGCCCTCGTGGGCAGCCCTTAGCCTGTCTTGCGGGCCTCTTAGGGGCTTATTAGGCCGTCTTGGGGGCCTCTTGGAGGCTTACTGGGCCGTCTTGGAAGCCTCTTGGGCCCCCCTTGGGCCCCTCCTGGGCTGTCTTGGGGCTCTCTTGGGCGCGTCTTGGGCCGTCTCGAGGCGATCATGGAGGCTTCTTGGGCCCTCTTGGGGGTGCAGACGGTTGAGAGCACGAGAGTCTCAGACTCCATAGGAAACCTATCGGAAATCTACGATTTCGGCCTCTTGAGGTCCTCTCTAGGGTCCCGTCGGAGCCGTCCCAGGGCGTCTTGGCGGCCTATGAGGCCGTCTTGAGAGTATCTTGGGCCGCCTGAAGGCCGTTTTGGGTCATCTCGGAGCTGTCTTTGGTCGTCTCGGGACATCGTTGGGCCGTCTCGGAGCTCTTCTGGGAAGCTCCAGTGCCATTTCGGGGCCCTCCGGGGGCCCTCTGGTGCCGTTTCGGGGCTCTCTGGCGGCTCCGGGGACTGGGCCCCCCCCCCCACCCGCAAAGCATTTTACGGATTTGCTCGAATGGATGGCCGGTTCTGGAAACCCTGATGCCAGAAAGGTTGCCATCTCTTGGAGGCGCATGTCTCGACCTTCCGCCAGCTTCCGCCGGCCGAACCAGCCTCGTTTTACTTCAGCGGGCTTCCGCCGCCCTGCCGCCACGTTTCGCCGAGGAAGAGATGACAAACCCTCCAATCCTCGAAAGTGAAGCCTTTTTCTGGGAGGCCCCTATACAGATCGTTACATACACACACTCATAAGACCACACTTCGGGTGGGGTGCAGCTTTCAATATGCGATTGGCGTCGGATCGGATCCGCGATTTAGCAATCACTCGACTTATCTACCTTTCATTCGATCCCCATTCGACCCCACATTCGACCTATCCCTCGATCTCATCATCTCCCTACCCATCGACCCGCGCATTCTACGTCCATCTGTCCCGCAACCTCTATGGGACAACCGCGGGACGACCACGGAACCACTGCGGCACAACCACGGGCAGCCGCGCGACGACCTCAGGACCACGACAGGACAACCGCGGGACCACCGCGGCACGACCACAGGACGGCCACGGAACAACGAACGGCAAAACCGGCTAGGGGGCCACATGCGAACCCTACCCCCACCCCCCAGGATTTCTGAGGGGTGGGGTGGGGCTTACTCCGTTCGGGAGCTCCCGAGCCGAGTGAACCCCACCCTCCCCCTCAGAAATCGTGGGATGGGCAGGGGTAGGGTTCGCGTGTGGCCCCCTAGCCGGCGGGACAGCCACGGGAGACAGCCCCGGGCTCGCCCCCCGGCGCCCAGCGGAGAGAGAGAGACCCATCCTGATGTCGGGCGTGTCCCCCTACAGGGGGATTCTCGGCGAAAAAATAAAAATACCCCAACAATACTCCAAAAATGTCAAAAATACTCAAAAATAGTCCCCAGACTATGTTTGGAGTATTTTTTGACTATTTGGGGGGTGTGTTTTATTTTTCGTCGACAATCCCCCTGTAGGGGGACAGGCCCGACTTAGACCCGTCCTCGGGCGCGAGCCAGGCCCCGGCCGGTGGGCCCCTCGCGCAGCAAATTACACGCCGCGCCCGCTGCCCCCGGCAGGGGCGGCGCGGGCGCACGCCTCGGCGGCGCGGGCGAAGCCGACGTCTCCCTGCTCGGGCCCTCCGCGGCACCGCGGTCTCGCCCCCAACCTCCGATGCGTATCTTGGAACACCTACACTTAGGTCGGGCCTGTCCCCCTACCCCGGGGGCTCTGGGCGAGAAGCCAGAAGTACCCCACAGATGCCCCCAAAGGGTCCCAGGATGCTGAAGGATCGTCCCCGGACCATTTTTGTTACTATCTTCGAATCTTCCCCCTGTAGAGGGACAGGCCCGACTCAAACCTACATGGGCGACTTCGGAAACCCCGAACCCAAAAAACGTTGTCATCTCCTTGGGGCACGCCTCTGACCTCCGCCACCTTCCGCCAGCCTTCCGCCAGCTTCCGCCAGCGGAGGCGGCCTCGCTTTGCTTCAGCCGACCTTCCAGCGCCATTCCGCCGCATTCCGCCGCGGAAGAGTTGACAATTCCTTCCATCCTCGAAGGCAAGGCCCTTTGTGGAACGCCCCATTTGAATTTCTAGATGGACCATGTGCGTGCGGGTGTATAGGTAAGTTCTACGCGCATGTATGAGCACCTGTATCTATATTCGAACCATCGTGCGCGCTTCGCGCAAGATCGAGTTCTACCTGCCTTGGGGCCAAGCGTACAGCGCGCCAGAGGGGCCGTGTCCAGATGATCGGGCCCTTGGCTTGGAGACCCACGCGTTGGTGTCTGAAGTCGCACTGAGGCTTGGTATTCGCGGCAGTCCTGGGCCATCCTTGGGCAAGCTTGCAACTCTTTTCGGGACCAGTTGGGCCTCCGAAGCCATCTTGGAACCGCACTTTCACAACAAATGGGATGTCCGGAGAAAGAAAGGCAAACACGTTTGGATTCCTTTTGGCTGTGGACTGGTCTGGCCCGCTCGCAAGTCCTGTGTGGGCATTCTGGCGGCCTCCTGGGCCACGCCCTGGGCCTCATGACACTGCTGGGAGCTTTTTTTTTTCCGATGGCGACCGTGACGCTACAAAAACCATCCTTCCCCGGCTCGAGGGGTCGCACTCTGCCGGCTGCTAAAATGATACTGCTGGGAGCTTCTTGGGACCGTCGTGGAGCTTCTGCATGGCTCCGGGAGCCTCCGAGGGGGAGCCCCGGGAGGCCATGGGGGGCGATGGCGGGCCGATGTTTTTCACGGCCTGGCGGAGCCCAATGAGAGAAACAAGAAATGACATCAACATAGAAGCTCGGAGATTCGGGCGGATTTCTCGGATCGGCGCTGGGGACCCCCAGCGGCGCCTCCGGCACCGCCCCTGGCGCGCTCCGCGCGCCAGGAAGGGGGGTCCAGCGCCGATCCGAGAAGTCCGCGCGGACCTCCGAGTTTTCATGTTGATGCCACTTTTTGTTTCCCTACCAATGCCCCACCCCAGTGCCCCCCTAAGTGCCCCCCCCTCTCAAAACGGCGCCACCACGAAGGCGAGGAGCCAGGGGGGAGTCCTCCTGATGGTGTGGCTCCCCCCTCCCCGCTCGAGGCATCCTCTCCTTTCCCAATCGGGGAGGCATCGTGGACCCCCACGCTGGAGGCGGCACCGCAAGCGGTGGTGGTGCCGCTTTTCTTCCCTCCGATCGGCGCCAACGGCCCTGGCTGCGGGAGGAGAAAGCAGCATGAAATGACGGAGGGCAGGAGAGTGAAAGAGGACGGTGGGAGGGAGAAGGCAGGAGGAGGCAGGGGACAGGAGGGGTTGGGGAGGGAGGGGGGGGAGGCAGGAGGAGGAGGAGGAGGAGGAGGAAGATGAGGAATGAAGGGGGAACGTGTCTGTATGCTTCCGGAGTGGAAGTGTCTTCGATTGGAGGCCAGCAGGAAGTCTCTTGCAGTCTCTACGGGGGCTGCTAGGGTGGGCTCTCGTTTGCCTAGTAGTGGTTTCCTGGGGGTTTCTGGGGGGCCTCGGGGGGCCTCTTGGGAGCCTCCAAGGGCCTCTTGGGGCCATGTTGGCGCCGAGAGCGTTCAATCTGGGTCTGTTTACTCACCCAGTCCGCCGTGCCTCTCAGGAGTTCACGCAAGCGGCGACAGTTTCACAGTTCGCAGCACACAACGGAGCTGTGAAGTCTAGTCTGGGTCCGTTTACTCCCTAGTCCGCAGTGCCTCCCACGAAAGTGGCGACGGTTG